AAAACCTAATAATCTGATACTTAATGCTCAGATCGTGTTTCAGGGTATGTTTTAATTAGTAATTAATGCTTCAAATAAATAGCTAATTGTAAAACCTAAACATCTGAAAGTTAATGCTCAGAATGTGTTTCAGGGTATGTTTTAACTAATAATTAATGCTTCAAATAAATAGCTAATTGTAAAACCTAAACATCTGAAAGTTAATGCTCAGAATGTGTTTCAGGGTATGTTTTAATTAATAATTAATGCTTCAAATAAATAGCTAATTGTAAAACCTAATAATCTGATACTTAATGCTCAGATTGTGTTTCAGGGTATGTTTTAACTAATAATTAATGTTTCAAATAAATATCTAATTGTAAAACCTAATAATCTGATACTTAATGCTCAGATTGTGTTTCAGGGTATGTTTTAATTAGTAATTAATGCTTCAAATAAATAGCTAATTGTAAAACCTAAACATCTGAAAGTTAATGCTCAGAATGTGTTTCAGGGTATGTTTTAACTAATAATTAATGCTCCCAATAAATAGCTAATTGTAAAACCTAATAATCTGATACTTAATGCTCAGATTGTGTTTCAGGGTATGTTTTAATTAGTAATTAATGCTTCAAATAAATAGCTAATTGTAAAACCTAAACATCTGAAAGTTAATGCTCAGAATGTGTTTCAGGGTATGTTTTAACTAATAATTAATGCTTCAAATAAATATCTAATTGTAAAACCTAATAATCTGAAAGTTAATGCTCAGAATGTGTTTCAGGGTATATTTTAATTAATAATTAATGCTCCCAATAAATAGCTAATTGTAAAACCTAATAATCTGATACTTAATGCTCAGAATGTGATTCAGGGTATGTTTTAACTAATAATTAATGCTTCAAATAAATAACTAATTGTAAAACCTAAACATCTGAAAGTTAATGCTCAGAATGTGTTTCAGGGTATGTTTTAATTAGTAATTAATGCTACTAATAAATAGCTAATTGTAAAACCTAAATATCTGAAAGTTAATGCTCAGAATGTGTTTCAGGGTATATTTTAACTAATAATTAATGCTCCTAATAAATAGCTAATTGTAAAACCTAATAATCTGATACTTAATGCTCAGAATGTGTTTCAGGGTATGTTTTAATTAGTAATTAATGCTTCAAATAAATAGCTAATTGTAAAACCTAAACATCTGAAAGTTAATGCTCAGAATGTGTTTCAGGGTATGTTTTAACTAATAATTAATGCTTCAAATAAATATCTAATTGTAAAACCTAATAATCTGATACTTAATGCTCAGATTGTGTTTCAGGGTATGTTTTAATTAGTAATTAATGCTTCAAATAGATAGCTAATTGTAAAAACTAAATATCTGAAAGTTAATGCTCAGAATGTGTTTCAGGGTATGTTTTAATTAGTAATTAATGCTTAAAATAAATAGCTAATTGTAAAACCTAATAATCTGAAAGTTAATGCTCAGAATGTGTTTCAGGGTATATTTTAATTAATAATTAATGCTCCCAATAAATAGCTAATTGTAAAACCTAATAATCTGATACTTAATGCTCAGAATGTGATTCAGGGTATGTTTTTAC